ACCATCTTGAAGGTTGGCACTCCAACCTAAAGAGGCTTGGACGCAGTCACCCAAACCTGTATAAATTCATTGAAATTATCCAATTTGAGCAGGACAGTAATGAGATTGTTATCATGCAGCTGCAGTCTGGAAATCCAAATACCAGTACCATGACGCAGTGTCGCATCTTGATGGTTTGTGAATTGTGAATGTATGTACAGAAATCATATTATATATCGAATAAATAAAGAAACATTTTGTAATACAATGGGAAAAGCATTACTAGTGATACTATTGTATTGTATTTTTTGTGCATTTTTATCTAATAAAAGTATAATTTGAAATATATACAAACGTAGTTTGTAAATGTGTATGTATGTGATATTCCACAATTTGTATATGGATATACTTGAATCTTTATTTTTAAAACAATATCAATAGAAATAAAATGTTGAACAAAAAAACTTTCTTCTGAGGCCGGACTACTGGGGATCATCACTGACAGACTGACAGACTTTGAAACGACCCCTCGTTTTAAACACACATGGTGGGGATTAACTGTTTGTCGGCTGCCGGACAAGTAGGATATCACCTCTGGTAGTGTTGCGCCACTGAAATTAGCAAGATAAACACGTAGGTTGGACAGCATCAAGTTCTGCCTTTGATTATGTCCGTCCGGGAAATATAAGTCACACACTCTCTTTTGCTGTTGGAGTAGAGAGAGGTCTTTTTCTGCATCGATATCCTGAGCACCCCCACCCTTGCTGGCGGGTATGAGATTAAAAGACCCACGGATTTGGTGTTTCCACCCTAATTTCATTTTCCGTGTCGTTGATCTTGATCTAAAGGTTCCGTTGTCTGCCCGCCAGGATCCCTAGAAGGAAACGATAATACAACAGTGAAACTGATACATTCATAGGGTCTTGAAGAATCAATATACATACATGAATTAACACATGATAACAGATCTTCAACATAAAAGTGACAATAATTTATAGCTGGTTTTATGTAATAATTATTCATGATTTCGCTGACATACGCCAGTGACATACAAAATCGTATCCAAAGTTTGAGTTAAAAATCGTTTGTTCGTTATTTATTTCCCATTTCTACATTTGTAAAATGACGTCATACCCAGCTAAGCTGATATAAGAATTTTATTTTCATTAGACTGTGTCTTATGGGACATATAAACATGTTACTGGTAAAAAGTAAGTGAAAACAGTTATTCCTTATATGCCTGACAACAAAGAAAAATATGCTTGTACAAATACCTGTCGTCGCCGCTTTGATTGAAACATTTTAACACGTTGGACTATTGGTGACTCTGTTATTGATTCTGCAGTTGAAATAACATAAATATCCTTATCATTTTTTAATGTGAACTTATTGATCAATTTATTCAGATATACAAAGCTACCTACTATATCATTCCATTTTGCACTTGGTAACTCGTTACTGTTATATGTTGTATTATTTCATTATTTTCGATCAATTCGATCCGTCACTCGCTGTATTTTGTGAACAAAAAACCATATCATACGTTTGACATTATAAAATGTAATAGTTTTCAAATGGTAGAATTTACCACAGATCAAATCTTTGCAGCGTTGTCTGAGTTTAGCTGTTTCTCCAATTGTTTCAATCCCGAGCGTTGTAAACTCCTCGTTCGTCAGCGAAAGAACGTCCGTATAAAAATCGAGTCTGGACCGAGACACTCCAGTGATTGATATCATGAGCATACCAAGTCAGCGACCCTGACCACCCCATCCCGTTAGTCGCCTCTTATGACAAGCACGGGATCGGGTGGTGAGGCTCGCTGACTTGGTTGATGCATGTCATCGATCCCAATTGCGTTGATCGATGCTCATGATATTAATCACTGAAATGTGTGGTCCAGACTCGATTATTTACAGACCGCCGTCATATAGCTGGAATATTGCTGAGTGCGGCGTTAAACAACAAACCAACCAATCTAAACTGAATTTCTCTTTGGGAAAAAAATTCTAGATATTGTTGGTAGTTATAAAAAAAACAAGGAATCCAATTGCATAGGAACAGATGACTTGTCTATGGACTAAATATGGAACTTGAACCTGCCGGTGGGTTGTGTACTATCAGTTTTTGCTATCTTGGTTGTACCTATTGTATTGTATGGTTCGGAAATATGTTGTTTTGAAAACGTAGATATCATAGAAAGTGTACATCTAAAGAAAACCTTTAAATATTAGAGTTTGTAAATGGGTTATATCCTTTAGGCATCAGGTTACTTTTGAAAATGGTCCTCCCAAATTATCACATATGCTAAATATATTGTATCAGACAGTGACGTAAATGCGAATATTTACACTTCATGATATTATATGACTATTTTGTGTGCACCACCTACTTAAAGACCAATTATTTCAAAACTGTAAACAGTATCACCTTAGCATTGGCTTCGCCAGCTGTTACAGACGTGCGCCAGGTTCAAGCTAAAGAAACTCGGTTGTTCAAGGATCGTCCGCTACTTCTCTGCCTTCACAGTTTGTCATTTTCTCTCCCGCTCCCAGGAAATTTGCAATTAGGTGTTTGTCTTCTTTTTCTCCCACGCGTACTATCGCCTGGTTTCGTACGGGTTTCTCCTACCACGGCCTTCTACAGGGTAATCAGTTTGGTCCCTTTGTCTCTGCTGCACAGCAGCGCGGATAATCAATGTGTTTACCGGAGTCTGTCCATTGTCCATATCTAACAATAGCATTTGTGACAACACGTACCGCATGCTATTCCAAATCTCACGCGTTTGGGGTTTGATTAACGTGTCACGATCGTATCACTTATTTCGTGTGTCTCTAGGCAGTTTATACATAATTAGTTTTATTCACCGTTTAGACTTGCTTGACAACGGCATAAGGATCTATACCGAAACGTCGCTTTTTACAGTATTAAAGAAGTTGTTATCCATAAAATTGTGTCTATCTTGTCATCCGTCAACTTCTAAGTAATGCCTATCAAACAATGTGGAGGGCATATCAAAATGAGGCGTATCAGTGACGATGTCTGACACAATTCCTATTTTGACATGTACCATATGTTCCCGTGTCTTTTCAGGTAAACAATTGATTTGTTTTTTTCAGATTCAGATGGCTGCCAATGATAGGGCAGGATGCGCCTGGTATCATCACCATTTGTTTCATCAACACATGGTCATGATGTAGTCACAACCGAGAAACCGACTCTGTTTTAGCAAAGATTTGCTATGAATATGAAAAGGGTTTAGTCGGGGGGTATTATGTACCCATTGCTCTCTCTGTTGTTTCGCATTTCCGTACGTATATAATATATCATTGCACATAATATTTATTTAAAAAATATTTGAATATGTCAGTCATCGAAAACACATTCGAACAAAACATATTCGTTATATACTGAACCAAATTAAAAACTTCAAAATCCTAAAATTTTAACATTTTGACCAGTTATCATTGTGGGCCCTTATTGTGTATTTAATCAGTAATGGCCACGTATTGTCTTCAGATAACACCCGTTTTTGTGCAGGTGCAGTGGCAAAAGTGTTTTTTTACGTGCAACTGGTCACGTGGCCATAATACCGCACGTGTTTTCAGCCATACTTGTTAGCAGTCATTAATAAAAAAAGAAAAACACAAGAAAACAAAAGTCTTTACGGCCATTTGTCATGCCACGCCTTTCAAATGTGCAACGTGAACGTGCCATCGGCATGTTGCAGACGGGAACGTCCGTAGCTGAAGTCGCAAGGACGATGGGTTGTAGTCGACGGACTGTTTATGATTTACAAACGCGTCTACAGCAAACGGGTACAACCGCTGATCGCCCTCGGCCAGATCGACCACGTGTGACGTCACATGCAGAGGATCGTCAGATTGTCTTACGTCACTTCCGTAACCGATTTTTGACGGCTACATCAACAAGAAATGAACTGTTTAGGGGTAGACTGAGTACGCAAACCGTCTGAGAACTGCTCACCTTCAAGCACGACGGCCATTCTGCGGGCCGATTTTGACTCAATTACACAGACGTCAACGTGAGTTGTGGGCACAGCGACACTTACGATGGACTCAGAGGAATTGGAATCAAGTCGTCTTCAGTGATGAATCCCGATTTAATCTTCGATTTGCTGATGGTAGGGCGAGGGTGTGGATGCGCCGTCATGAACGTTACGCCCAGTGTTGTGTACAGGAAGTTGACAGATTTCGAGGCGGAAGTGTCATGGTGTGGGGTGCTTTCTGTGGCAATGCACGTTCCAGGCTTCTTGTCATCGTGGCAACCTCAACGCTGCTGCTTACCGCGACCAGGTACTGGCACCCGCACTTCTGCCTTTTATTGCAGCACAGACCCGGTTTGATCTTCCAACACGACAATGCCAGACCCCACACAGCAATTTTAACCAGGAATTTCCTTCAGAATGCGGGAGTCAACGTCATGGACTGGCCGTCAAGGTCTCCCCCCCTCAATCCCATCGAACACGTCTGGGGTGCTCTTGGCACTCTCCAGAACCAACCACAGAATTTGCAAGATCTTGACACCATTTTGCAGGAACAATGGCGTCGTCTTCCCAATCATGTGTTCACAAGCATCACAAGGTCCATGCGGAGGCGTTGTGTGGCTGTTGTCAACGCACATGGTGGCCATACACGCTACTGAACTTGTGTGCCATCAGATTCCCGTGCTTGGGATTTATGATTTAAACTGTTGATGTTAGTACCGAATACCGTAGGTGCTTGGAACAAATTATGGTTACCACCGTTAATTAAAATCCTTCTTTGGACATTAATGATTAAAAATTACCTTCTCTGATAGATTTGTCCGTTGTATATCATATATGGGATTACTTTTAAAAATGTGAAGTTTTTGACTCAGTATATATTATTCACTTTAATTTCAATATGCACTGATATAAATAGTAAGAGAATAAAGGTTGTTCATCCTTTATCAAAGTATTTATTAAAATAAACAATTCTGTTCCTTGTCTTGTTCTCATCTGTTTTTTAATGCATCAGGAACATCACTTTTGTCGGAAGTTTGCTAGTTTCAAAATGATACTGTTCTCTTCTGTGGTACAGTATGATGATTCTGATTCATTAGTTAATCAGTTTTGCCTTAAATGTATCAGTTTCTCCATACACAACACAATGATACTGAGTCCAGTCCCCGCACACACGACGATGAAACCACCTCCAATCTGGTTCACTGTGATTGACTTCAAGATTCGTTTTTGTGGACAATTTGTCAGGTTTCTCTTGACAGACCATTTCGCCCAGATTACGTCTAGTATGCCACTCGCGGTGAGCTGCGACATTCTGCCATTGAGACAAGAAAAAGCTTGAGTTCTGCTACTTGCACACTAATCACTAATCAATTCACATCTACCGCCATCTTGTATACAAAGTTAACCATAGAATTTACACCGAATACACAATAATAATATTTTAACAGTTGTCTGTTTTTGTGACATTTATTAAATGCCGTCAAGGAACTAATTCGGGAAACATCAATTACCAGGAAATATTTGCAATATTTCTGTTGTATGTTTTCTTCATTTGAGTTTAAATTACTGACACTTGAGAAATATACGTTGCCTGAAGATTTTATCACAACTTACACCTTCTCGAAGTCGGCTTTCAGGGGGGACCTTTGAGGCAATCCAAATGCCAGTTGTACCCATAGTACACTTTCCCCTAGCAGCTCCAATTGGCAGTCTTCAGCCATTAGGCGGTTTGTAATTGTCCTATACTCCAGAAAGGCATACTTCTCACTTCTCGCTCTTTTGAAATGATCCTCAAGTTTTGATTCAAGGAAGACTGGGTCGTTGGCAGATATCTTGGACCAAATCCTTCCACTGACACTTGAGGGAAGACTTGACTGACAGTGAGAAAATTCATTGATTAATACCTTCATACATTGTACACAATGATTTCAACAAGGCTATTTCTTGGGCTATTTCAATGATTGCAATGATTTCAAGGGCTATTCTTAAAAATCAACTACATAACACTGCCTCTCATCACGGGCAGATGCTCAGTTACTATTCACACTATTGATGTCATAGAAGAAGCGAATCACAACATGCTGGTACCGCCCTGTCCTTAATGTGGAATAGATTAACTTATTTCAATAATGATCAAGGCACAGTTGTTGTGTCCATTGTAAGAGTTTCGTTTTTGAATATATCAACTTATATGTACAACATAATGTATTCCTAACTGAGGTAAGTTTTGATACATCTTTATATGATAAACATGTATTTTAGCTAAATGTAATCTTTTGTCTCGTAAACTGTACCATGCACTGAGTCCAACTCATTTAGACCATGTAGTTAGCTAATCCATACCTTTAGTAATTGACGGCTCATTCCACTAGGTCTCATGCCAACAGAGTAGTCACTGTCGAGAAGCCCCTCTAGGTCAGAGAAAGGTTTGACATCAGTCTGTGCAGAGAGGGCGGCCACCAGGTTGGCACTGTAGACTGTCGTCATCACCATCAGCAGCATCCACCACGACGTCACCAACACCTTCCCGGGTAGAGTTCTAGGATATTTACTAAAACCTGCAAGTACAAAAGTGAGTGGGTATCTCCGAAAAATATGCTTACTGTAACACTTTCGATTGACCCAAGATTTCGAACATATTTCCATCGTCATGTTTTTAAGTCCCTAATCATTACTGAAATGTTGGCACAACAAATTGTAGTCATGACTTGTACTATACCCATCATGATTGAACCTCCACCTTTTCATCTATTGAAAAAGTAGAATGTACAGACACAAGTTTAACTTGAAACATTCATCTTATAGTAATGTGTTAATGATTTACGGCATAGGATACACATACGTTCTGACGTACACTTTGTTAAACTGCATAGACATCAAAATTTAAAAATACAAAAAAACCTTTTGCTCTTCACATCTGCTTTGTGATATTTGTCATCCATTCATTTCCTATATATGACAAATGTACATAAACACAAAATTGGTTGATTTGCATAAAAATATAATAAGAAACCCTAAATCGTGATGCACTTCATTTTGTACATACCCTGCTTGAACAGAGATGCGGTGACCTCCCAGCAAGCACTAAGCAGATTCTGTTTCACCTTTTTCACATAAGTAACACCCACATCGCCAGAGCCTGCAGCTGTTTCGTTCCAGCCGAAATCCACACTTTCAAACACAGCCAACAACAGTGGACATAATCCTGCCATTAGGAACAAAATGAGGTACACCATAGGCCTGAGTGGGAGCGCCAGAAGGAACAGAGAAGTAGTACGTTGTTTATCATGCCTCTTGTACACCACGTCAATGTACTCTGTCCGGATCGGCGGGTAAATGTATTCCATGAAATCCGATCGGCCTTCATTTATTATTAGGTCACAAGCGGAAAGGTCAACTTCCTGCAATATAATATACTTATTCTAGTTTTATTTTGGCATAAAAGTATATGTTTATCACATATGTTTAAGTATCAGTATAATCATTAAATATAAAAAGTCCACTGACTGAAAAGACAAGACAGGTATGCGAACAAGTCACCGAGTCACACAATCCATTTTAGGTCGCAACTTGCGATAAACAAGTGGGTAAATCAGATATATGCTCCTACGAAGTTCCATAATGGGAACCCAATGGTTCAGTTGGTTTATATTTCTGTAGGAAAGGTTTAGTAACATTGACAAGACGTCAATGTACTCGGTAAAATATAATATAATTATTCTGGGTTACAATAAACTTGTCTTATTTTGGCATAAAAAGTATATTTGAATCGTATTTATTATGTTTTAGGGTGAGTGATCAAATACATGAAATGCAAAGGTCTTAAGTCAATCTACCGTTCTGTTTAGCTGCCTCACAATTCCATCATAGGTTCCGTTGACAGGAAGTCCCCAAGACTGATCCTGTGGTTCAGTCATACTGTAACTGAAAGGAAAAAACATCTTCATACAGTAAACTGTTACTGTCAAACTACAATCTCCCATTCAATAAAGAGACATAAAGATAATTACAATAAAACTGTTGATAGTGGTTAGGTGAAGCATAAAATAACTTAAAGTGTCTTACCTAAAATTAAGGACAGCGGAGATGGTGTCCAAAATATCTATTGCATATCCTTCATACTGCGTTGTTCCATTGTTTGTGGATTTCGCGGTGTACAAAGATGTCTGAAACATGGGGACAAACGTCTACCGTCCATATGAGATTAAGGATGAGGGTTGTATCATGGACACTGATGTGAGGCCCCGACTTTAATATTCTGGGATGGGGAGGTTGGGGAGACTGGATACTGTTCCTGCCACAGTTGCCAAACCAGACATATATTTTAATGGGCGATCTTTTTCAACTTATATTCCCTTCACTGACCCGCTAGGTGCGCTGATCCCTCCGGTCCAACCTTAAACTCACAGCGCATGCGGAAAGTGTTACCATCACAGTTACATAGGCTTCGTCTCAACCGGTAACGTTCACGCTGGTGTATGAACACTCTATCTTTTCGTCTTAACAATGATCTATCTATTGTCATGTCCTGAAATATATGTTCCTTGATTCCATGAAACACCAGGAACGACCACGACTGCTTATATTGTAATAATAAACCCCTGGACAGCCATTGGATTGGATTGGATTGGATTGGATTGGTGAGGTGAGGTGAGGTGAGGTGAGGTGAGGTGAGGTGAGACCACCTGATCGTTCCTGGTCGCTCTGTTGACGTTTTGCAGTCGGTACTTAAAGTGTTGCCCTTGACACAGGTGAGATTTATTTCCAGAAATTGTAAAAGAAACAAGCACTGACAAATTATGTCCTTAACTTCCTATCATAATACAATGTTAAAACAAGGAAATCACTGAAATCCATTTTAATATTTGTGAGGGTTATTTGGTGCACGGTGTAGAAAAAGGTTTTCTCGATGAATGGTGGCTGTTCGTTGCCAATTACTACCATAATTACATTTCAATAATGATGCATAAAAGATAGACGTTGTTATGGCATTTTTAGAATTTTAAACATTTGAATTTTTTTTTTCCGACACAGAAGAGCGCATATTAGCATACCAACTTTCATCTTATAAATTAATTTTCAATCTCTATATTGATGATTGTATTACTATTGCAGTGTCTACATCCAATTTGCTTTTACACTGATCAGATGATTGTAATAAATAACGCTCATTCTTAATTTCATTAGACCTTGCTTGATATGCTTCCTTGTTTTTAACTGACGTTTTAAATTCCCACAAACACTTTGGTAATGTTAAATATTATTATCTTTATATCAATAAATATCTGCATTGCACAATGTTATACTTTTATTTGATATCTTTGTATACTTGTGCATGTGCATGGGTCTTGATAAAAATATTGGATAAAACTATTTTAAAATTATATTTAATCAATGCTACAGGTGTCTTAAAACTCTGTCGAATGACAATCAGGATATATATAGCTTTAGCAGGATAGTGCAGGGGTCGTTAGGGGAAAACACGTCAACTTATGTTACCAAAAGAAGAACATACAACAACCATTTACATCTTTTTATGTATCATACACGTCTTGTGGGGTAGTCAGTGTCATTTGCAGTTTGTTGGTACAAATCGTTATCCTCAACCGCTTGAGGGATGGACGAATATCTGTAATTTATTACTGTTTTAAGAGCATGAGTATCAGAATTTTGAAAGAAATGGATTACTAAATTAACACCTGTGATGAATTAAAGCACTAAATGATGGGACACATTTTATAGGGGGCAGAAAAATGATTAAATCCTTTATTTCAAACTACGTTGATTCGTTGATAAATGCATGATAGATTTTCATTTGGCATATTTCCAAAGATTATTGTCAGAATAAAAAATGGAATTCAGATGTTAGAGGAAATATTGATATGAAAGTAACATTTAAAATTAGTTGTTTTAATTCTGTTATTCCTTGGCAATGTAAGTAGTAAATGCATGATTGTATGATAATTATAGACCAGCGGAAAATACCTGTCAGTGGCGTGTGCTGCAACGGAGGCTTATCGCCAAGTTTGTTACATTCCATAGAAGTCCGTGGTAGTATGAAAACTATTTGTTCAGATTTGAATGCTGCAACAGTAAAAGACTTTTCGTGGAAAGTAACACAAAGGCTGATATATAAAAATGAGTTTGCAATATTTTGTCGATGTGATATGTTCCCTCAGACTGACAGAATGCCTCGCTGTTTTATGACGTAGAAAATGACGTGGCAACATACTGATTTAACATGGCGTTTTTTCCCGCTATCTTCGATGGTGTCAATTTGTGTTTTATTTGAAGACAAAACAAATATTCTAAACTAATAATCAATATAAAATATGTGATAGTTAAACATATTCAGTCATAAATAAACGTGTCTGAATGAAGGTGCAACAGGGTAACGTTTTAGCTTGGCTCCGTCTCAACGTGCCATTTGTTGTCGCAGCGCGCATTGATTCGGGAACCATTCCGGAAGCGACAGGCGAACAATCACTAATATCATTTCAAATAGAGAGTTACTGCCCTTTGACACCGGATCCCCACATGTTTCCAAGGGAATTACAATGTTCTTTCAATATTGAAACAAGTCAGCATATCACAAGCTTTCGAATCGACTTTTCAGTACTGCCTCAAAATAGTCTTGAAGCAAGGTACTTCCCCACTGTCTGAAGGAAAACAATCTATTCAAAGAAAATATCCATTCATAACATTTCAATTATATATGACGCCATTTAATATATATAATTTCAAAAGGAGAGATATTGTCCTTTGGAACAAAACAATTATCCATAAAAAATATGAGACTAAACAATATTTTTTTAAACATCTTGCAGCAATGTATTTCTTGTGACAATGTATTTCTTTCTTCTTTTATAAACAGTCTGAAGCATTTTTATTTTCAAGCATAATTCAGGACAATATACTTGTTCAATTTCATAATTATATTTGCAGAAATAACAAAAACAGCAGAAAATTACGTTTTCAAAATGACGACTATATTTAGAGTCGGATAGAAATTCTTTCAACATCTTATAGTTTTGTATCTCTGTTTGTTTGTTTTTAACGCCGGACTTAGCAATATTCCACCCATATGACGGCGGTCTGTAAATAATCGAATCTGACCAGACAATCTATCATGAGCATCGATCCATGGAATATGATGACATGCGTCAACCAAGTCAGCGAGCCTGACCACCCGATCCCGTTAATCGCCTCTTACAACAAGCATAATCACCTTTCACGGCAAGCATGGGTTGCTGAAGATCAATATTCTACCCCGGATCTATTCTTTTCCTGATCGCCACGGTTGGCATCATTTAGAGTATATCAAGAATGCAGTTAATAAGCATAAACAGTGTTATGACAAAACGTGGAGGCTGCAATATTCTAGCTATATGACGGCGGTCGGTACATAATCGTGTCTAGACCACACACTCATGCGATTGACATCATGAGCATCGATCCACGCAATTGGGATCCCGTTAGTCACCTTTCTACGGCAAGCATGGGTTGCTGAAGACCTGGTCTACCCCCAATCTTCATGGGTCCATATATGAAGAAAACACATGCATATATATATATATATATATATATATATATATATATACACACATATATATATATACAGAATATTATATATTCTGTATACTACATACTTGCTACATATCAATGTCATAACTATAGATGGGCAACGACGGACGATAACAGGTTAGCTCACAATTCCTGGCTTCAAGTAAATCTGTGACAACGTCCAGGTGAATCATTTATATTTTCATTGTTACCTCGAGAGTAGTCACCAGCAAACGTCTGTTGTTATAACCATAGGCAGCATTAGGAAAATAGCACAGGTTGATGTTTCTTTGGGTACAAGCGGCTACTGGTACCCACTCATTTCGGGGAAGGTGATGTTTTAAGGTAAAAAAGCTCTGCAGCCAACACTGAAAAGATATGAAGCACATATTGAAAGAAAGATTAGAAGATACTTTGCAGTCAAGATGGCATCGAATAACATAATCCCCACTCTGGCATGATATAACACTAAAGTGCACACTGTAGACACTTAACAAACCAAACCCAGAGAACTGCTGTGTAAGAAGATGTAAGATGTTGTGAAACAAGAGATATTCTAAAGTCAACTATCATCTTAGCAGGTACACTTATGAGACTGTTACGAGTCACACTAAGTTTGGCCAGTATCAAGGTGTAAAACGCAAGTTCATCAGATGTATGTCTGTCCTAGCCAAACAATTACATAAATCGATATGTAGAATTATGAATGATAATATACTGAACAGTTATGCATCACCATCAAACGCAAATGTTTCAATTACTAGAGAATCTTCATACATACCTTATAATGATGAAGCACTGCTACAACATTTTCCAAGTAAATGAACTCCGGCAGATCAACGGTGCTCTCTTCTTCGTGAAGAAGTAGCCACTTTGAATGATGTCGAAAATCAGTCATTCCCCTTGTCTTTATATCGAAAGAGTCGACCTAAATCACAATGATTTCTATAATGTCCAATAAACGATAATATTACAGATCAATGCCCACATTTTGCATTCCATGAGCTTCTTCAAATTCGGGAGTGAGTCATTTGGTTTGTTTCATGGTCGCTTTGAACATTATTTCATTGTGGCGCAAGTGACATCCTCGACTATGTCGTGCATCGTATCTCTATTTCCAGTCCATTTCAAATGACACAACACCAAAAATAGACATCCTATGAAATTAGAAAGTGAGTAAGTTAATATTTAAAGTCAGATCGGCAATGCTTCAGCCATATCATGACTTGAACAAGTTATGCATTGATATTACATATAACCAAAATACTGCTGTCAAAGGGCAGTACAACAACGAGTGATATATTGCAGATTAAAGCTTTGAAACTAGTCTTTTAACAGTTAACTGATAATATTGTGACAGATGACACATCATAAACACAGGCTACAGATCACAAACAACTAAAGTTAGGCCACCATACCAGGGGCCATGGGGACTTTGCTACCTGCATGGTTTCCTTGTATGATCTACACGATCCCTTTAGTCATTGGCAATTGTTGACAAGATTAGCCATAAATTAAAATGTTCAGATATTCTGCGATTGTGGCGAATTGTTCCGGGTATCTACTACAACAGAACAGAGCTATGATACATTGGATGTATGATGATGTACAAGTGTTAGCATTTTGCTGAACATGTGTTGGCAGGCCAAGAGACACAATGGGGCCATTATATCCTTCCACAGCAACTTTTCAGCAATATTACAGGAACATATAACTTCATTCTACACACGACATGCTGGTGAGGATACTGCATAATGATATGAATGTTGAAACAAACCATTTTCATCAACTCGGTCATATGGTTATGACTCAGAGATGCAACTACGTGTATTTCTGGGAAGAGAGCCTCGTGGATTTCCTGTAAGGTATTATTCGCATCCATGACGCTGAGGTCATACACAAGAAACTGGATGCTGTTGGTCAAAGATTGGATACGAGCAGGTACTAAACAGTCATTCTCTGAAACAAATAATCAAAGCATTTGTTCTTCATGTCAAAAGAGTAACGCGTTTATTGGGATTACATATACCAGTGAATGAAAACAAAGGCAGGCATAAGACACCAACCAAGTTCATCAAATTTTATGAGTGAGTATAGTTTTATGCCCTTACAACAATATTCCAACTATAAGGTTGTACTTGTGTAATTGTCTTAAACAGAAACACAACAGCCAACAGAATCTCTGATCAATATAAAATGTTTTACCATTCATTGAAGCTTCATCTTATCCAGGATTAAGACTGACCCTGAAAGGTCTGTAGACCCGAATTAGACCCCATTTCCTGGGGATAACCCCTGAGAGTCCTTTAGGCTCCGCTACCAATATCATCGCACTTTTATTCACTCCTACTGGCTCAAACACTAAGTGCTTTGAATGAAGTATATCTAACCAATTTACGTACACCGTTTATGGACTATGAACTTTTTTCTACATTCTACAACAATAATCAGAAAACTCGCTTTGGGCTTTATGCATTGTACAAAGCTAGTCAACCGTGCACGAGATAAACCAGTGAAAGTTTTAAACTCTAGGCTTCCCCGATGCCTCTTTTTTGATGAAAGTGACATAGTAGATGTTGTTTATCAGAACGACGTGACACGTAGCTGCATATGTTGTGTTTTTAGTTATGTCACAAGACCATAAAATGTCAGGGCAGCCTCCCGCGAAAATCGCTAAAACCCAGGGTGCAGCTGATCTCCTTCTGACACTGACAAGATAACCAGGGTATCCATTCAACTTCAACGTATCTTGCAGTTGTTGGAACCTGTGGAAGACCCCTTGCATGCCTCCTGAGGACCACAATAAGAAAGACGCATGGGTCAGACCAAAGGCTGCCATTCCATGTCAGTAGACAACTCTCACCATTCCATGTCAGTAGACAACTCTCACTATTCCATGTCAGTAGACAACTCTCTCTATTACATGTCATTAGACAACTCTCTCCATTCCATGTCAATAGACAACTCTTTCCATTCCATGTCAGTAGACAACTCTTACCATTTTATGTCAGTAGACAACTCTCACCATTCCATGTCAGTAGACAACTCTCTCCATTCCATGTCAGTAGACAACTCTCACCATTCCATGTCAGTAGACAACTCTCACCATTCCATGTCAGTAGACAACTCTCACCATTCCATGTCAGTAGACAACTCTCACCATTCCATGTCAGTGGACAACTCTCACCATTCCATGTCAGTAGACAACTCTCACCATTCCATGTCAGTGGACAACTCTCACCATTCCATGTCAGTGGACAACTCTCTCCATTCCATGTCAGTAGACAACTCTCTCCATTCCATGTCAGTGGACAACTCTCACCATTCCATGTCAGTAGACAACTCTCTCCATTCCATGTCAGTAGACAACTCTCACCATCCCATGTCAGTAGACAACTCTCACCATTCCATGTCAGTAGACAACTCTCACCATTCCAACGGCCCTTGTCAGGGCTTCCAACAATCGTCTCAAAAGAATCTTGAAACACATGATGTAAACTATCTCCTACTTGTTTGTCTGTTTTTCTTCTTTATCCAGTAAGCTACTCCATCTCTTCTCTCATAGCCCTGGGCACTCGTGAAGAGCAACCTCCTCGTGGTAAGTGCTGGGTAATGCTAATCGCTCTTCCCCCGTGTGGAACCGGGGCAGAATATTTCCACAGCCTCCCATTGCTGGTCGTATGAGGCGACTAAAATGGGCAACCTGTTTGCCGTGGGTTGCGTCCTTGTGTCGGCGGAGGACGGGAGTCTGGTAGTTGAGGGCACTGGTTCCTGGAACTGTGTTCCTTTGCCCAACACACTACTTCGACCCTTACTTCGCCTAGACGGGTGGTAGAATTGGCCCGGTTCTATCAATCGGCTGGTCATGTCTAGCCCTGTGCTGGAAAATTGTTTGTATATTCTACTACATTATATTGTATTTTGGCTTTGAATGTTAAACATTCTGTAAATCCGTTTGCCTACAGTCCTATGCCAGAAGGCGGTGGCTCATGGGCCAATCTGGTAATGTCGACCTCTGAGTTCTGTATGTCTCCAATTTCTTGTTATGAGCAGAACCAGCCTAGCATTATTATTGGTAGACAAATATAGCTATTCATGCCGTATTTACTGGAGTATATCACCCTAGTATCCCCAGTGTTTGCATGCCGGATCTCCGCTGCAGTGAAACACTGTCCTTGTTGACACTCCGTGGTGGGTGAGGAGCAGGGGTGCTGAATGTTACTACTACATCATGTCACTTACACATTCTGGTTCCGTTAGAAATGACAAGAAAAGGAGATTAGAAGCTGATCATCTCTCATATCATGAAGATGTTTCAGTTTCAAAAAAAGAAACTTGGGCCAAATTTATAGTCATTGAATCTACAAATGGAGATCCGCTTCAAATCAATCCTTTCGTTATCTCAAAGACTATTCAGTCCATCTGTGGTGAAGTTAAGAACGTTTCACGTCTCCGAGGCGGTTTGCTCCTTGTTGAGTGTGATAGACGTCAGCAATCTATAAATTTGCTAAAACAGCATCAATTTGCAAACATCAGTGTCGCTGTTTCAGCGCACAAAACACTAAACTCTAGTAGAGGCATTGTTAGAGACAGAGCCCGTTGTCTGGCGGACATGGCTGAGGAAGAAATAGTTGCCGAACTTAAAGACCAAAATGTCACTTCTGTTAAACGCTTCACTGTCAAGAAACAGGATGGTAGAATTGTACCCAGCAACACTTACCTGTTTACATTTGCTTTGTCTACTGTACCCAAATCCATAAAAGCTGGCTATTTCAATATCGGGGTGGAGGTGTATATCCCCTCTCCACTCCGATGTTATACATGTCAAAAGTTTGGGCATGGTTCCAAATCCTGCCGTTACTCTCATCGTTGTCACCGCTGTAGCGAAGATCATCAGGACTCTGATTGCACTAAAGATCCTAAATGTGCAAATTGCAGTGGTGACCATCTGTCGTCCTCTAAATCTTGCCCTGAGTGGCAGATTCAAACAAAAATCTTAAAATTAAAATATGAAACCAATATCCCTTTCCATGAGGCTAAACAACAAATTCTGAGCCAGACTCCAGCAAAGTTATCTACTTCTATCTCCTACTCAGCTGCTGTCTCAAACAAACCAAAAACGGTTTCTATTTCGTGCCAAACGGATTTGACGTGGGTTACATCTGACCAACCTGTGACTACAGATACTACACGATCTCAATCTCTCACTTTGGCAACATCTTCCTCTCAGACTGTGACTCAGTCACAAGCTGAAGTTGATCAAGCTGCTGTTGATATTGCTGTACCTGTTGAAACGTCACAAAAACAACGCAAACGCCTAAATCGTAAAAAACAATCATCACAGAGCTCTTCTCCTTTAGAGGTACCTGTAACTGTTGAAGTTCATAACTCATTTGACCCTCTGGAGATGGAGGTGACTCCATCGTCAGAACACAGAAATAGGAGTCCATCTTCCTCCCGTGGCCGTGAGAGATCCCCCATAGAACCTCCATGAACCAATCTCTTAATGTCATTCAGTGGAATTGTAGGGGACTTAGGAATAATTTTAATGAAGTACAGTTATTAGCACAAGATTATAAGCCTTCAGCATTTAGTTTGCAGGAAACCTATCTCAAGCAAACTGATAACTTTGAAATGCGTCAGTACAATTCATATCATTCTTTCTCCCCACCAGGTGATAAAGCCACTGGGGGTGCTTCAATTTTGGTGAAGCAGGGCATTATCCACAGCCCTGTTTCTCTTAACTGTAATCTTCAGGCTGTTGCTGTCCGTCTTACCTTACACATAACCTTCACACTTTGTTCATTATACATTTCTCCATCCTCGAATCTTCAGCAGTCCGATCTTCAGGATTTATTTGACCAGCTCCCTAAGCCCTGTATCATCATGGGTGATCTTAATGGTCATAACCCTCTATGGGGCAGTTCAAATACTAACACTAAAGGGAAAATCCTTGAAGATTTTATTTCTAATAATAATCTATGCATATTCAACGACGGCTCGAACACATATTTACATCCTGCAACTGGTGCGTATTCTGCATTAGATCTGTCAATCACAGATTCTAACATATATAATGAATTTGAATGGTCGGTCCATGATGACCTCTGTGGCAGTGATCATTTTCCGACGGTAATTACAGCTGTAAATCCCACAGATGCTCCACCTTCAACACGATGGAATTTTTCAAAAGCCAATTGGCCATTATTTCAGACTATGTGTATTGACAAATTGAAACCAAACCTTTTCATGGATGTCACTGATCCAATTCAATCATTCTCTGACATACTGAAGAACATAGCTGATGAATCTATTCCTAAGTCCTCTATGAACTCACATATTCGGAAACCATGGTTTAATGACGAATGCAAACAAGCTAGGAAGCGTAGGAAGAAGGCAGAGAAATACTTTCGACGCCATCCTACTGTACATAATTTAAACACTGTGAAAATTAACTCTGCCAAGGCTCGACGAACATTTAAACACAATAAACGTCAGTCTTGGAAGAAATATGTTTCTAAAATAAATTCACGCACGCCTATGTCAAAGGTATGGAACATGATCCAAAGAATCAAAGGCAAGGGTTCTAAATCTTGCATTCGTCATCTTAAAGATGACAATAATTTATTGACGGAAAAATCAGATATTGCTAATAAATTGGGCGAAACTTTAGCTAAACATTCTTCTTCGTCAAATTATAATCCAAAGTTTCAGAAGTATCAACAACAACAAGAGAAGAAAAACGTTAATTTTAATTCTGACAACGGCGAAGATTATAATGAAGTTTTTTCACTAAATGAACTACACACTGCTTTAGCACAAGCTCATGATACTGCGACTGGTGCTGATGATATTCATTATCAGCTCTTAAAACACTTGCCTGATTCTTGTCTTACAACGCTACTGAATATTTTTGATCATATATGGACAACTGGACATTTTCCTCCTTCATGGAGAAATGCGATAGTTGTACCCATACCAAAACCTGGCAGGGATCATACCGATCCATCAAATTATCGACCTATTTCATTAACTAGCTGTGTTTGTAAAACCATGGAGCGCATGGTAAATAATCGATTAGTTTGGTTTTTAGAAACCAATAATCTGATTAGTAACATCCAATGTGGTTTCCGTAAAAACCGAAGTACAATTGACCATTTGGTTCGTTTAGAATCATTTGTTAAAAGTGCTTTTGTAAATAAACAGCATGCTGTATCTATCTTTTTCGATCTTGAAAAAGCTTATGATACCACTTGGAAGCATGGTATTTTAAAAGATT